TAATTTTAAACCTTTGGTTATTAGGTCCACCACTGCACTCACATACATAGGTTCAACTGGATGGACCTTGGCCTTTTTTCAACCTTACATACTATGTTACTATGTATGTATCTCTTTTTTTCCACTCAGATTTTTTTTGCTATTTTTTTTTAACCATTGTATGTAAAATGATAAAATTTGCACCCGTTTGTTTTTATAGTACCACGTAAATGTTCACGCTTTTTTAATTAAAAGGGACTAATCAGTGAATCCAAATTTGGACTTTCCTAAATTGTAACATTCTTTTTTTTCTAGGTAGAAGAATCAATTTTGCTTACAAGAATAAGAAGTTGTTTTTACATGCTGATTATAGCTAAATCACACTGGGTTCACCATATTGCCACAGCATGCCCCCATCTCTTCTCTTGTCCCTGGACCAAAAAGAGGTAACTCTAGGTGCGGTGGACATCAGTTGTCATATATATATATATATGCACCAGCCCCACCACTGTCTGTGCAGATGTGCAAGCTCTATCTGTCTCAGCTGGGGGGCAGGGTGTACTTTGGCATCTTCGCCTTGATTGCCAGAGGACCTTACTCAGCTACAAGGTTACAGAATCTTGTTATGTAGCTGATTGTTGTTTGGAATGTTAGCAGCGTGGGCGTGTGCAGCCTATTGCATTAGGGTGTGCACGCAAAACAACAAACAGACATAGACCTGAGGCATCTCGCATTCCTATCTTTTCAACTGTCCCTTAGCTCTTCTAGCTGGGGTGCATCCATCTGGCTTCCTGATTGGATGGGAGGCCTGGTGCATCGCACCTTCCACTGGCACCGAGGACTGTGGCGGTTATGTAAGGAATAAAGTGGCAAGTGCTGCTGCGCACTGTATAGATTGCCACCTTTTCTTCAAGTGAAATCTGAACACTCTAGCGCAGTTTTCTTTTAGAGAATATACAGGAGAGAGAGAGCGAGGATAGACAGCCAGGAGAGTCAGGAGAGAGACAGACAGGAGAGGAGAGACAGCCAGGGAGAGAGAGTCAGGAGAGAGAGAGGAGAGACAGTGAAGGGAGACAGCCAAGAGAGAGAGCAAGGAGAGACAACCAAGAGAGGGAGGAGAGACAGCCAAAAGAGAGAGCGAAGAGATACAGCCAAGAGAGAGCGAGGAGAGACGCCAGGAGAGAGCGAGGAGAGACAGCCAAAAGAGAGCGAGGAGAGACAGCCAAGAGAGAGCGAGGAGAGACAGCCAAGAGAGAGCGAGGAGAGACAGCCAGGAGAGAGAGGAGAGACAGCCAGGGGAGAGAGAGGAAAGACAGCCAGGGAGAGAGAGGAGAGACAGCCAAGAGAGAAGGAGGAGAGACAGCCAAGAGAGAGGTAGGTGAGACAGCCAAGAGAGAGGGAGGAGAGACAGCCAAGAGAGAGTGCGGGGAGAGGCAGCCAAGAGAGAGTGCGGGGAGAGGCAGCCAAGAGAGAGGACGGGGAGAGGCAGCCAAGAGAGAGGACGGGGAGAGGCAGCCAAGAGAGAGGACGGGGAGAGGCAGACTAGAGAGAGGACGGGGAGAGGCAGCCAAGAGAGAGGACGGGGAGAGGCAGCCAAGAGAGAGGACGGGGAGAGGCAGCCAAGAGAGAGGACGGGGAGAGGCAGCCAAGAGAGATGGCGGGGAGAGACAGCCAAGAGAGAGGGCTGGGAGAGGCAGCCAAGAGAGGGGACAGGGAGAGACAGCCAAGAGAGAGGGCGGGGAGAGACAGCCAAGAGAGAGGGCGGGGAGAGACAGCCAAGAGAGAGAGCGAAGAGAGACAGATAGGAGAGAGAGGGAAGAGAGACAGCCAGGAGAGGGAGCAAAGAGAGACAGCCAGAAGAGAGAATGAAGAGAAAGCCAAAAAAAGAGGAGAGACACCATAGGATACCCTATCTGCACCCATGTGACATCACAGGATATCATATTGCATCTCCATAGCATCAAAGGATACCTCTTCCTCGCCCCAATGACACCACAGGATACCCCTTCCTCATCTTCAGGACACCACAAGATACCCTTTTCTCATCTCCAGGACACCACAGGATACCCCTTTCTCACCCCCAGGACACCCCTTCCTCGCCCCCATGACACCAAAGGATACCCCTTCTTCATCCTCATGGCAGCACAGGACAACCCCTTTAGCACCTCTATGACACTACAGTATACCCCTTCCCCACCCCCATGACACCAAAGGACACCCCTTCTTTGCCTCCATGATACCACAGGATAACCCCTTCCTCTCCTCCATGACACCACAGGATACCCCTTCCTCTCCTCCATAACACCACAGGATACCCCTTCCTCGCCTCAATGACACCAAATTATACCCCTTCCTCACCTCCATGACACCACAAGATACCCCTTCCTTGCCTGCATGGCACCACAGGATACCCCTTCCTCGCCTCCATGACACCACAGGATACCCCTTCCTCACCCCCATGACACCACAGGATACCCATTTGTTGCCTCTATGACACCACAGGATACCACTTCCTCACCCCCATGACACCACAGGACACCCCTTCTTCACTCCCATGACACCACAGGATAACCCCTTCCTCGCCTCCATAATACCACAGGATACTCCTTCCTCGCCTCCATGACGCCACAGGATACCCCTTCCTCTGCCCTATGACACCACCGGATACCCATTCTTTGCCTCCATGTCACCACATGACACCCCCTTCCTCTCCCCCATGACACCACAGGATACCCCTTCCTCTGCCCTATGACACCACAGGATACCCCTTCCTCACCTCCATAACACCACAGGATAAACCTTCTGCGGCTTCCATGACACCACAGGATACCCCTTCCTCACCTCCATGACAGCACAGGATACCCCTCTCTACCCAGGATAATATATAATACCTCAATCTGATGTGACACTTCTTTTGCACTCTTGGGTGACAGAGCAGCCGACTCTCCCCATGTACAGCCAATAGGACCTGTGCCACACACACACACACACACACGCACTGTGTACAGACAGACAGAACATGCTCACATAGCAAGGAAGGCCTCTATTGTAGGGTTGCCACCTTTTCTTCAAGCGAAACCAGAACACTCTGGCGACATGTGGATATTTTTTTGGGAGAATGAGTCACGACTTATTCATATGTAATTAGTGCCACCCTTTCATATGTAAATATCACTATTTTCAGTGGGGGGACGGTAGCCCCTATCTTAATTTTGGTTGTCCCTGTCTGCCTGACATCTTGTATCCAGGTTTCTGCTGCCATGAAACCCGGACACAGCATTTAAGACCCGAACTGTCCGGGTGAATCCCGGACAGGTGGCAACCCTACTCTATTGCATGACTGGAAACCATGGTAGAGGTTTCTAGCCTTCAGAGAGGAGATGTGCCTGCCGTATATCTGATCACCCCCTAGTGGCGGGAGGTGTGAGCACACAAATCAGAGCAAGACTCACAAATCAGAGCAAGACTTGGCTGTTCCTAGCACCTCCTGGCTGCTGGCACTCGGGTATTGCCCGAGAGCCCGAATGGTCAGTCCACACCTGGTGCCCACTGTTGCGTTTTGTGTAATTAGGGTATGCCCTGGCACACCCGACACACCCCGTGCGCACGTCTATGGTAATTAGACTGTAATGTGTGGCCAGACTAATATTTTTTTAATGTAAACCATGACAAAGTGGTAGCTGGATTCACACCTATTGGTCTGGATACACACATCTGCATTTTTGCTTGATGCATTTTCTATTGAAATCAATGGAAATTCAAAACAAGGCAAATTTCCACATATAGCATTGGGGCAGCCCCACAACAACCTCTTCAACCTTACCTCTTTATACTATGTGAGGATGTGAGGTATTGGACTACGTGTTAGCTACTCCTAGGTGCAAAGAATTTAAAGTAGTATTAAAGTCTTCACGTTTTAATGTATTGTTAATGCATTGTCAGCAGGCATGGAAACATTACACAATACATTATTTGCTTCATATATGTGCAGAAACACTTCTTCACAAATCACTGCTGCCAGCTCCAGGTCACACAGCACCATTTCCCTGAACTTCTGGTCAGGAAGTGTGTGCACAGGGATTTTACATTCAAAGGGAGCCATGGCTTCGTTTAGCGGGGGTCGTCACGGCGCCCCCCCGCAGTCCTGCGCCCGGGGCAAGTGACCCCCCCGCACCCCCGGTTGTTACGCTACTGCATTCAAGGCTTCAGGTTTTTGTGTTTGTAATGATGCACACAGCATGGGGGACTTGCTTTTGTCTTTGCCAGGACTGTGCATGCAAGGGTTGCTCTCTATAGTACCCTGCAAGGGAACGGAGCCAAGTGGAAAGCAGATGTCTGAGTAAGCACTCAGTAGACCAGCTTATTCTGCAGAAACCAGAACATTTAATACAACATGGAGCAGCAAATATTGTAAGTTATTTCAATAGCATCTGAAATACCTTAAATACATTTAAGCTTTAATATCACCTTAAAAGATTGTATTTAGTGAGTGCAAGAGTTTCTTATTGACAAATCAGTCTCCTTCCTTTTAAAAGCATTGGATTTTACTTACATTAAGAGCATCCAGTATAGAAAGTTCTACAGCTGCAGCCTTCACATGTATCCAACAATCCTCAACAGTTACTGTGTGATCTTTGGCTGCGATAATTTGTTTAGCAACTGTAAAGAATAAAGTAATATATTTATTTTAGTAAGATAAATATTTTGGTGTTTTCATGCAATGATTGGACGATGTATTGAAAAGAAATGATGGTAATAAACATCGGACATAAAATAAAAAAAGGCTTGATCTGCCAGAGCAGATTTATTGTTTCCTCAGAATGACTCTGAAGCTCCACATAAGATCCTTTGTGAATAGGTCACAGTGCGGTTGATTTACTAAAGGGAAATTGGATGTTAACTTTGCAAGGGAACTTTCCCGTTAGCTCAATGGATGAGGTGAAGCTTTGCTGACTTCCATCATCCTATCATGTGCCAGCACAAATTCGGATTTTTTTTATTTTCTTTGCACTTGTTTGGGGAATTTCACCACATTCACTAAGGTAAGGAAAATTCCTTTGCAAAGTAAACAGCCTATCTGTCTTCAAATCAACTCGTGTCCACAAAAAAGTCCAATTAATTATATTTACTAAACAAATGATAGGAACAGGGAGGTATGAGGAACACTGTCAACCTACATTGTGTGCACTGGGAACATGTCACTTTACCAAAAGTGAATTACTGCAAATATATTCCCCAGCATGTATTTTCAAGTTCTTAAATACCCACAGGTTCAGTTTATTTGCACTAATTACTCACAGAGCAAAGTTGACTGGTGAGCTGCCATTAAACTCCACCACAACAACACATCAAGCTCAAAATTGACCAACCTCTCACCAACTCTCACAAGTTATAGGTACTCTTCAGTTTGGCATGCAGCCTGGGAACGCTTCCTTTTGTACTATACTGTAGGTTTTTTTAACATGTTGGAAAATCTCTGTGTATATGGTTGATAATTTTCACTGAGTAGCAGAGACAAGTCTTTCACTACACATGCACTGCATTAAACTACAGTGCTCAAATGCCAGAGCATGTTCGGCCGACCCGAAGTGCAGAAGGAGTTCGACTCAGTTTTCCAGCATGCTAGGAAGAAGAAAGTCGTGCAACCGTACAGTAGATGCGGTCGCATGCTGCCCATACACCTGCTGATTATCCGCGATTATCATATGATAATCGGCAGGTGTATGGGCACCTTAAGAAAGATCTGCACATCCATGACCATAATTCTTAGATCTTTCATTGTACTCTGAAACAAATTAATACTGATCTTCCTGCTCCAGGTGTCAGAACGTTATGTCTTGTTTAAAAGGAGAACTATGAGGTGAGTGCTTTTCACTCACCTCATAGTTCTAGCCGACCTGTGACAATGAGACTGTCACAGGTCGGCTCAGTAGATCGGGAGGTGAGCGAACACATACCGGGTTCGCTCACCTCTCGATCCTGTAACGGCTCTCTGCCGTGACAGGGGAGGGGCTGGTATACCCTCTCCGATCCGCCAGCGATTACTGGCGGAACGGACAGGGGGAGGGGGCGGGTACAGCTGGCTCTGCCTCTAGCTAGGCAGAGCCAGCTGTCACTCACGCAGCTGGGCGGATCCAGACATCGATGTCGGGATCCGCTCCGGCTGCGGCGTCTCAGTATACCGAGAGCTGTAGCTCGCGGTATACTGAGCCTAGGGTGACGGGAGGACGCTAGTTTGTGTCCTCCCGTTACCCTAAGGAGAACTATGGGAAAAAGCCCTGACCCCATAGTTCTCATTTTAAACCCTTACTGCCGATGAACCCTATATGAAGCTTCCTCAGCATAATAATGATGATTCTGAGTATAAGTTAATAAACATCCTACTTCTGAGAGCTAGGAGAGGACACTTTGCACAGCTTTGTCTCTCAAACCTAGCCATCACTGGCAGGCCCCCACAAACCAAAGTGGTTTCCAATCATGTGATCACTATGTCAGCTATGACAAAGTGATCACATGCAGACCAGAGGCTATATTAAGAAAATACGCCTTAAGCCTGCAGATGTCATTGCAGCCTGAAAGTGGCAGGGTACATCTGTATAATATTGTAATTGCCAAATGCAAAAGAGCATAGTGTTTATTGAAACAGTGTACCAAATAAATGCCTAATATGTCCTTACAAAAATATGCAAATAATCATAACATTATTAGTTAACCCACATAAGCTGATGCTTCTAAGTTTGGTCTAGGAATCTGGGGGGTCACTGGCCTCTAGTCACAAAATGTTTGCATTGCTCAAAATCACATTGTTAATTTGTTTCATTTTTTTAGTAATTTTAGTTTTTTACTTGACAGTCACTTGCTTTATTGTTGAAATATTTCTACCACTTACGACTACAACAGTTGTTTCTGCATCTACCGTTTTTCACTCTTAATATGTAAAACGGCCCTATCTGCTCAAACCCACCAGATGGTTTTTGAAAGGTGATCAGTGCTGATCCTCCATTAACAGGATATTTAATTTGATGCTTGACACTCAAACCGCACAAGGTATTGCTTGCATTGCCCATGAAGACCATTTTTTTTACCATTCCAGATGAGCAAATCTGCAGAAACAATGATAAGAATTAGATAAATCTTTTTTTTTATAAGCCATATGTTTTAAAAATATTTCTAAGGTCATAAATGTAAAAAATAAAATAAAAACTGAATAAGTAATTTATATTATATTATAATTTCTTATAATTATTTATAATTTATTATATTATAATTTTTTAATTTCGTGTTTCAAACTTTATCATACCTGGGATGTCTACTGGACTCTTGTTTGGACAGATTTAGGTGAGTTATTCCTAAGATTTACTAAGAACTACAGGCCTACAATATAAACAACAAATTTCCATGCAAAAAATTGGACCGCTTTTGGTACAAAATTCCTGACATAATCATACCGCCAGGGAGGTTAATATGAATAAAAAACCTTTCCATTTAAACTGCATGCGCTGTAATTTTCTAAAATTGTAAAAAAACAAAACAGTGCACTATGGCGACCTGGAGGCAATCTGTACACAGATGTAACTTCCTGCTTTTATGATTGTCAACACTACACAGTGTTGCTGTATGCTATATACCTCTGACTACTGCACTATACAATACATACTCCTGATCATTGCTCTTTGTACGTTGTGCTGTATGTTACATACATCACTGTGCTCTGTATATATCACATACAGTACTGTGTGCTGTGTTTGAACTCTTTTATACTAAAAAATATTTTTCTATATACTAATAAAGTAAGCCAATAGGCTAATTATTGAGACTGGTTGAAGTATAACCTCTTTTTTCCGCCTCACTATCCTTCAGAGGTGGTATCTACTCTTTTTGTATGCAAATAGATTATCAATCATACCTATTGTTGTGTATTTGTATACACCATGGTGGTAGCGTTTTTTCTATTTATATATCACATACTCCTGACTACTGCACTCTGTAAGCTATGCTGTACAATACATTACAGGGGAGAAAAGTGATGTTCTTTTGTATACAGCAGAGCTCCTCTGTCACTTTGAGAGCTGTTCTGTATGCTCTCTTTATTTGATCTTATGATATTTTATTAGAGGAACACAGATTGCCTGATACAGGGTAGGCGGCTGTCACACTGATAGCCGAGAAACCCCTGATTACTCAAGGAGACACACGTTCTCCCATCTGAAGAAATAAGCTGTCAGTTTGCCATTTCTTTAAAAAAAAAAAAGAACAGAAAGTTGCCACAATCTTTAACTTGGCTCTCTCCCTTTGTATTGCTTAAAAGGTGCCCATACACTGCACGATTATCGTACGATAATCGTATGCGATCGGTTTTTCGTACGATAATCGAGCAGTGTGAACGGAGACGTGCGACCGTTTCTACTGTACGGTCGCACGTCTTCTGTCGAACCAGCATGTTCGAAAACCAGCCGGGAATCGTACGAACGGTGCTCAGAAGACAAATGCCGAACGGGCCGGTGTGCGCACGCGCACACTGCCCGTTCAGCATTGCGGTCATCATTACGATGATCGAGAGTGCGATCTGCCTGTCCAAGATAGGCAGATCGTACGTTTTTTTAATCCCTTTACAACCATCGCAAGACTAAGGTCTTGCGATGGTTGTACAGTGTATGGCCACCTTTACTGTAGACGCCTTAGGGATGTTAGGGAAATTGCTAAACAAACATGAGACCCCCCTGCAGCCTGCGTACTTCTATTCCCCATAGTAAGAGGCAAATTTGTTGAGAAGTGGAAGCTTCCATATGAGATTAATAATTATTAATATAGAGAGGTAAACTGCAAGTTTTACCTGCATGGAAAGCAGACAAGCACTGGAGATAGAGTAGCAGAGCTTAGTAGCAGTGGACACCCATTCTAAAACAGAAGAGGGAGAGGGGGTGTAGGTTGTAGCTCCACAATAGGATGTGGACTTTTTCTGAAGTTGCTAGAGCAGGGGTTAGCAAACACCAACACGAGTGCCAGGATGGGCACGCAGTGCCTTCTCCGCTGGCACTTTAAACATTGGCTGTAACTGACATTTCCCTTGGCTGTCAAGCACAAAGCCTGGCCTACCCATCTCCCAGATGTCAGTAAGAGCAGCCAGTGTCTAAGGACGTTGCTGCATAGTTCTGAGAAAGCCTGCCTGCTCACACTGACAAATTAATTGACTCACAAGCAGTTCAAGTTCCTGAAAATGCTGAAGAAGCCTCCCTCAGCATTCTAAATAATAAAATAACATTTTGTCTCTATTTCACTTCTGCATACATGTGGTTCACTCCTGCTGAGTTGTCAGCTGTCCCAAGACCATTACAGTGTGATTCTGTAGCTGATAGATATCATGTATAGCTGTACACCCTGAGCCTCCCCTAGGGTCCATTAGCGGCACTGCCACCAAGATATTCATGGTAAAGATCAATAGACTTTTTGAAAAAAATTTAACTTTTGAATTGTTACAATAACAGTCATTAATTTCATTCAGTCTCACTGAAAGCCCGTGCTACAGCTCTACAAGAGCAATTTGGCTTCCCTTTGAACATTTAACTTGATGAAATCCAGGCACAGATATAGCCACAAATTCTTGAGTATATATATATGAGTATATATATATATAAAGATAAAAAGTTACCTCTGGGCAGGTGTGATAGCTGAGTAGGCCACTTTTATTCACTGTGTAATTTATACATTCATATTTGCTTGATAGTACAGCTAATGTAGTACTTCCAGAGCTGTGACTTTCATACTGGGACATGATCCTGTCATTTTATCCGCCCCTTCTCTCCCCTTGTCTATTCACAGGACACCTTGTATTCTGTGAACCACTGACCAATGGCATGGGATATTTTTTTTCCCTCTGACCAATGAAGCCAGGCATTTTTCTTCCTATTGACCAATAACACCAGGCCTTTTCTGACCAATAACCACCAACAGCAGTATTTTTTCTTTCTCCCTCTGACTTATGCTGTGCTGATAAGCCCTTATTCATGCTGTCCTGCTTTACCAAAGACAAATAAAGTGAGACACAGGTGGGCTTTTCAGTAAAGGGAATAAAAGGTAAAAATTAGCTAGGATCATAGCAAAAAATTCAACTTATCAGGATGGAGGCTTTGTATATAACCAACTTCTGGGCCATCTGAAGTGCATGCACTGGGCCTGATATGAGGTCTAAAGGTACAGAAATTAAGGTTGACCTAAAATCTGTACGTGATGTACGTGTTGTGTACAATAATTAATGAGCTTGCCATTAGCAGTACAACTAGGAGTGCACACATTTAAAACTAAGACTACGAAAATCAAACGGCGGGTGGATTTATTCTTTCTGAATGAGAAACTAACAAACATTCTTCTAGACTCCAATAAAAAAAATGTACAAAAATCTGGCAACCATGAATCGATTACTCCCATCCCTCTCCATCCCCGGATAGTTTATGGGCCCTATAGGTTCTGAGCCCATATCCTGAGAACTTTCAAGACCCACATGCCACCCTCCTTACTTTTGTTCTCCTCTTTATCCTTCTTCTTTGTCAATCTGTAGACTTTGATTTCTCTTTTGCTCGATATATATTATTTCGATCTTAATTTCTCTTCATTTTTTTGAGACATGCAATAATTGACCTTCCCGAGTTATTGAGCTTTTCAATACAATGTATTATTTGTGATTTGTCTTTGATTGTACAATACGTTATTTTCTACTCCATATTGTATAATGTATAACTTTCAAAATCTAATAAAAACTTTAAAACAAAAAAAACTAAGACTACTATGTGCTATTGTTCACTGACATGCCGGCTTTCTGATGCTTGTAAAAATGGGACTTGATGTGCAACAGGTTGCTGACCCATGTGCTAGAATATGATAAAAAGTGACTTTGTGACAGATTCTAAAGTATCCTGTCCTAAGCCGTATTGGATCCTCGGTGATATTCCTTTTGGACAAATAAAGTTGGATAGGAAAGCTTCGAAACTCACAAGGAGTTTGTTGCCCTGATGAAGGGACCCTGCGCGGCCCCGAAACATTGGCTTTGATGATGCAGGTGACACATGTTCCATAAAGAAGTACGGAAATTTACACTTTGAACCTTGTGAGTGCTGGTCATCTTCTATCCAATACTTTGATGCTAAACCCTCACACCGCATTGAGTAGGATACAGATTTATAAAAACAATGTTAAACTTGACCTAAAAAACTGACAATATTTAATATATGTACTGTCTAATGAGAGTGCCAAACAAGAGTCCATATTCTCTGATTAGTATTAGATCATACCAGGATAACACAAAAGAGCCAAGACATTTCGGAGCTCAAAAATCTCTCCCTTCTTCAGGGCTCAGATGTTGTAAATGGTAGGACTAAAGAGATGGTTCAATCATCTAATTCTTAGTTAGAAGTTACAGGATGACAGAAATCACGGTGTCAGCAGAGCACAGTAACTAATAATAATATTCAAATAATTTGGACTCTTGTTTTTTTGCCTCTTGGATATGTGGATTCTCAACTCTGAGTTCCCTTTTTAAAGGGGTGTCCTGTTGTGTGGAGAGGAGCCTTACTGGCCTGTTATAGTCTGATAACTTACTAAACTTTGAATCCAGCACCTGGATTTTATGTGTTTGGACATATTTTGTATGTGTTTGCAAAAACTAAATGAAAAATTACATTAATGTCCCTTTAGGTAATGGATAAATAAAGATATTTCCGCCACATTATTCCAGTGGATGTAACAGACAACATTGTTCAGATTTCTCACCTTCTTCATGTTCTCTGTTTCTCTTTTAAAATAATCAATTTTGTCCTTCATGCTTAGAGTCTGTGCCTCCAGTTCCTGGTTCTCCATTTGCATAGCTGTAACCTTTATCTGTCAAATAACAAGCAAACATTTCCAGTGTTAAAGAAGGCCCCCAACTGAAAAAAACATACAGAGTCTAATTCTATGCACTTAGAATTATTTCCTTTAATTGAACAGAAGTGGAATTGTTCTGGTTTACAAATAAATTATCAGCAGTTTGTGCAATAGAAGCCAATGTGGTATTTACCTACACTCTGCCAGTAAAGAGCTGCAAAGTGGTCTTAACAGACTTGTAACACTTTGTTATTAAGCTGGACATATGCTGGCTGTTTTTTCTCATTTGCTCAAACAAGAAGAACAGGATTTTTGACCTACCATAAAATCCTTTTATTGGAGTTCATTATGGGACACAGGGTCAGAAGGATTCTGAGATGTATGGGTTATATTGCTGCATACAGGAGCATATGAGACTGGGAAAAAAAAGCTGTTAGTCAGCCGGGATATAACCCCTCCTACTCCCATTATTCAGTTTTTGTGCAAAACCAGTAGTAGGAGTGACTATAGACAGAGGGATGGGACATATGTCTCTTAATGAACCAGAGGAAAAGGATTTTAAGGTAAGACAAAAATCCTGTTTTCTAAGTTGTTCATTAAGGGCCAGGATTATGAGATATATGGGACGTCCAAAGCTGATGGGTAGGTAACACAGGAACCAAAATGCTAACAGGGCCACAACCCCCCCCCCCCAAAAAAAAATAAACAGGTAATCTGTATTGTGTGCATATAAGACCATGTGGCAGCCTTGCCAATCTAGGACACAAATGCTGAAAAGTAAAAAACGTGTTTATATGGGGTAGGACAGAGAGATTGAATTATAATGTCCTGGTTACGGCGAAAACTAGAAACCAATTTGGAGAGAAAGGAGGGTGTAGACTTCAAGACAACCTTGTCTCTGTTAAAACCAGAAAGGGTTCTTTACAAGGGAGGGTCTCCAAATCAGAAACTCACCTCACAGAGGGGATAGCAATTAGAAAGTCAACCTTGTGGGTGAGTGTGGGCAATGGAATATCTCTGAATGTGCTGCCCTTCAACTAGAACAATCAAATAAATAAACAAATCTCTATAATAAATATGTGCTAAACAATACATGCAATCAAAGTGTTCACAATTGCTTTTCTTGTAAATATCAATCCTTAATAATAAATATCCCTCTGCAAAATTCAATCATATATTCCGTGTTTAGATGTGTACAAATGTGGAATCACACGTAAAAAAAGTGCTTAAAATTTGTCCCAAGTGCACACCACTCTTTATCCTTCCACAGTGAAAGTTCTTTATACAAGGTCTATACACCAATTCCAATTATCACCAGGGGCTCACCCCACTTAGTGGGCCGTTCAGCTTATAAGTAGACCTAAGCAGGTCTAAAATCGCTTTATAGGATCTCCAATCGATCTTATTCAAAGGCCGTCTCTCCACAATCGTTACACAGAAAATGACGTCAGCATGTCATCACGACCATATCCAATCAGATATAAAAACAGCCCATAGTATAAAACTATGAAATTAAAAAACTCCTTTATTTAAAAAAACTACTCGCAAAAGGAAAGTTGACATAAAACGTCATGTAAGATGTATGCCCAACAACTCTCTCTCCGTGTCACCGTATTCTCTGGGTGCAAAAGCGGGTCAAACAGGAGCTGTGCTGCTGACCATGCAATCTCCAATCCACGTCGGTGAGACTCCGAGACCAGAGAGTACATCTTACTTGAAGTTTTATGTCAACTTGCCTTATGTGAGTAGTGACACATTAATGGCGTGACCCAGTGGAAAGGAAAGTTGGAGTGCAGCTGGGAAAGGAGAGAATTCATAGCCACAGACTTATCTGGATTAATCAAAAGACCTGAAATAAAGGCAAATTGATCCAAAACACACTATAAGTCTGGTAGTGTGACCAGGGGATTGGTAAGAGTAAGGAGCGCATCACCCGTAAACAAATTACATTTATATTGCTGACCCGCATTAGGGACACCGGAAATATCAGGATTGCCCCTGATCGCCATGGCCAGGGGTTCCAGGGCTAGGATAAAAAAGATTGGGGATAACGAGCATCCCTGTCGCGTCTCCCTCGCAATGGGAAATAGGGTGGATTGAAATCCAGCATATTGGACCACAGCCAAAGGCGAAGCGCAAAGAGCATCGATCCACGCCAAAATAGGGTCCACGAATTCCCATGCCCTCAAGGCATAACGGAACTAGTCCCAGGAAAGGGAGGCAAAGGCTTTATAGATGTCCAGAGACAATAGGAAACTGGGGATCCTTTGGCTAGACAACAAATGTACAAGGTGGATCACTTTGCGTATGTTATCACTAGCCTGGTAACCAGGGACGAATTCAACCTGGTCCCTGTGGACCCGAGAACCCAGGAAAGTATTAATGCGGGTGCTCAATATTTTGCCTAAGATTTTTACGTCGATATTTAAGAGGGAGGTGGGTCGGAACTGATGTGGGTCATGTGCGGCCTGCGGAACCTTAGGGATCATACATATAGAGACCTGAAGCAAAGAGGAATAGCAGGCACCGAATTAAAAAGCATTCAAGCAACAGGTACGGTGGGGTGCTAAGAAGTCTGCAAACTTCTTATAGTAAAAGACATCCGGACCAGGGGTTTTAGAAGGGCTGGAGAGACTTATTGGCTCTGAGGGTTTCAGCTACAGTGATGTCACTATCAAGGGAAATACGGCCATCATCAGGGATAGGAACCAATGACAGGGTACGAAAAAACTGATCCACCTTGTCCACCTGAAAGGGAGTAGGGGAGGCATAAAGTGATTTCAAAAAGTCTGCAAAAAAGTCTGCCCACAATAATAGAGGGATTTAAAGTTAGGGTCCCTCGAGGGGTGCGTAAACAAATAGGCGAAAACGTTTTCTCTATTGACTGCAGTTAATTAGCCAGCATGGGCCCAGCCCTATTGGCGCAATAATAATATTTGTGGCGGGTCCAGCGTAGGACCTTCTCTGCTGTGGTGGTAAGTAACAGGTCCGATTCAGTGGACATTTTTTAATAGGCACATCTGGTAGAAGGAGATGGGCTAGCTTTCCAAACCCGGTCCGCCTGATGCACTGTAGATCACGGATCTTCTGTTCCCTCTGGACCTTCAATCTGGAAGCAAGTTGAATAAGGTGGCCTCTCATGGTAACATTGTGGGCCTCGCACAGGGTTACCGGCGAAGAGACAGACCCGAGATTTTCAATAAAGAAACATTGAACCTGAGACTGGACCAGCAGAGCAGAGTTTCGGGTTGAGAGCAAAGAATCATTCAGGCACCATAGGAAAGAGCGCCATTCTAAGGAGACCAGAAAACAGTTGAGCACTAGAGGATCATTGTCTGACCAGGTGGATGATCGGATATCAAGTTTGGCCACTTGGGGCAGGAAGTGTAGAGGCATGAAAAAGTGGTCAATCCTGCAAAAACTACGGTGTGGGTTGGAATAAACGGTGTAGTCCCTAAAGGTAGGGTTTAGTTCGTGCCAAACATTGGTCAAGGCATGAGAGGTGTCCAAAGACACTGATACACCAGGGGGTTGACGCCGATCGAGAGAACAGTTGAGTACCAAATTAGAGTCTCCCATCAAGAGAACCGTGCCCATACGACGCTGGGCAACTATCTTAAATAGGTGGGAGAAAAATCTGCTTTGGAACGCGTTAGGCGCATAATAAGCAACTAGGCGTTGGGATCCCCCCTTAAATTCCTACCAGACCTAAAGGATGTAGTGTGAATTTGGCAGGGGAAACCAGGCTTTTTTTTTTTTTACATTTAACAAACACAAGTTCATTCTGAATGACATAAAGAAAATATTTCAGATGCATCCAAATTTCATTATCAGAAAAAAAAAATTGGATACGTTAGGATTTGTTATTTGTTTAATTCGAAAATTCAGATGGATCTGAATGTCCGAATATTCGTGCAAATTCCAATTTGGAAGGAAACGAATCATGAATATGTCTAGTAACAAATTCAGGGTGCATGTGACCCATTGTACTGATACAGTCCATTTCCATTACCACATCTATTACAAAAAAAATGTTGGAGCACAAAAATCTTCAGGGGAAAACAGCAAGAGAATAGCATCAGGACTATGAAGGCAGGTCACCAGCACTCAAGATTCAAAAAACTTTAATTTTTAAGATTACGTCACAAAGGTGTGAATGCCAAGGTTCCGGGGGTGTTCAAGTAGAGACACAGAGGGTAGCCAATAACCCCGCCCCCCAACACCACTGTGATGTCATAATACAACGCTGCCTAATGTTAAACTGCTAAAGCAGGTGCTGACATCAGTGCCGTGTCCATGCGCATGTGCCCCGTGGTTCGGAGTGCCAGACACACCCAGTACCACGTTCCTGGTTGCCAGGACTCAGGCGGGACGCTATCTGGCAGAGCTCAGTGGGAAGAAGGAAGAAGTGACAAAGCTGGCATCACTATGAAAAAGTTTGGCCAAACAAATATGTAGTATAAAAAAAACAAATACACAGTGTACATGTTACTAACTGCCTGTCACCCCCTCAAACTAAGTGCACCATCCAACAACATTAACAGTATGCTCAGGAGGTTCCTCACAGTCAGACTGCTCTGCGGTTGGGGAGAACCCAGAATGGTTATATGCAGTTTCCTCAGGAATGACAATTGAGGATAGAGCCTCTTTAACAGTTGGCTGCAGTTCAAGCGCTTCACCATCTCTGCAGATGAGTCATGTGGCGGTGGGAGCCATGTCTGAGGAAGCTACTTACTTAGTATATGAGGGTGCAGCTCAAGTTTTATTCCTGCATTCTTGTTTCTTTCTCTCCTTTAATAGGACTCTGGGGAACCAGCCCGCTGGCAAATTTGGGTCTGCCTGTCAGAAGTACCAGCGTCCTCTTTTTTCTTCCTGGTTTTGGTTGGATGCCACAGAGCGGGCAAAAAGCAAGAGCACAGAGCCGAGCTGAACAAGGATCCAGGGAGCTACAAGTAGCCAGATGGCCGTGCTGGGTCGAAGTATCAGGAGTATTGTAAT